TCATTTTATTTTTCCGTCATGCCCATGAAACAATGCAGCAAAAAATAATTCACTGACTATACAAATCTAAAGAAAATTTGTAACCCGTGAATAATGCCTTCATATTGGAAACCTTAATTTTTTTATTGGCTAATGTCAGTTTTATAGGATGATGGGATTGATAGCATTTGCATTAAAAGCGCCAGTAAACTGTTATAGTGCAACTTCAGTAAAGCTTTAAATGGTAATTGTTGGAATTATGAGACCATTTATTTTTGGCTCACTAATCAACTTAAAACCTGCAGAAGGACAGAAAGTATAACACTTCGGTGGGAAATGAGAAATGGTCAATTACATATAGTGGATTTCAATTGACAATTTAGAATAAGAAAAGACATATAGCATATTTATTCAAGGTTCATGTGACATATAAGGGGAAACACAGCGTACAGTAATTCGGATCCCTTTCCCTCAGAATGGATCATCATCGTGTGTCGGTGGGTGTGATGTTGACTGTGGAGGCAGACAGCCAGAGGGGATTGGCTGATGTGGCAGGACAGGGGAGGGACTAATGTGACTGAAGGTCAGACAGGCCTTCCAGTGACTACGGTGTGTACGGTTACACATGGTAATATGTAGATGAGGAGCCGTGGGGTTCTCCCCATGTATAGAGAGAAGAATGTGACTTCTTAGTGTTATGTTGTCTAAAAATTAGCTACAAAACCAAACTTTACTTTAAACGAGACTTGAAGTCCAGTAAACTTTGCAAAAATTGAGCAATATTGAAATAGGGGACAATTTTGAGACACTTTAGGAACATGAATGTTAAAATAGAAACAAAAGTTGATAGATAAGATAAGCTTGAGCCTCGCTTTAACTTTACTCCTTGCTTCTCTTTCACGCTCTGTGCTACATGTATGCATTGTAACATGCTAAGCCGTGTGTTGACTTGTGTTATGGAAAATAGGGTTTAATATGAGTTTAATAGGATCATCTAATCTATAATCTGTTAAAGTCTATAGCCTGTGGCAGCCAATCAAAATGTATAACATGCTAACGAGATTAAGATAAATAGTAATATGTGTACATGTGGATAGTACGTAGTACGTAGGGTTGCTTGCAAGGAGTGAATTCATGTGCACGATCCACACGCTGATTAAGGCCCACGCACAGAAACACCCTTTGAGCTCTGCCGCTGTTCAGCTGAGCTGAGATTATTTCATTACAGATGTTACTTAACAATCTTAAAGTGGTGAGTCCCATTGAGCGTAATAATCAAGTAATCAAGCATTAAAAAAGGAGTAAAGACCCTTCCTTTAACAATACACTGACCTTGATTTCTCAGAATGAAACCTATATACATTATAATTGTAGTTGTTATTGGAGAATTTGAAAGTTATGTTTAATGTTCCTTTTGACTATTCTGATAAGAAATGCGAGTGAGAATATTTTCACCCCAGAAAAGGAAAATGTTGCCATGTGTAATATCCATTATAGCTTGATGACTGCAAGGAAAGTGATCCATATAACTTCACATATAATAATGAAACTGGATATAAAGTTGTTTTTCTTTTAGACAAAAACAAATTTCAACATTGATTAGTGATATAAGCATTGCTCTGATTTCAATCCTTTCATTTTTGCAAGAAGCAGTGTAATTATTCAACAAATATTAAACCCTCTGAAATATCAGTTACATTGTGCGCTGCTGAAGGAATCACAGCCACAATGTACCCACTAATAGAAACAAGGATGACATGAAAACGTGTGGTCATGGTGTGCCACTTCACCTGTGTGTCTCCTTTGTAATGCAGGACCCTTTTTCCGTTTCAACAGTGGTTTTTACTAAAGCTCCCAATCACCTGAATCAATTGGTTCTGTTATGCTGCTTCAAAGCAACCACTTCAAAGACCTCATTTCTTTTCTCCTCCCACTCTTCCTATTCCTTTATCCAGAGGCAGAGCAGAGACACGTGGCCACGAGACATTATATATGTAAACAGTATAACTATATTTAGTGATGTTTAAAACTTTAAAATGTTTGACAAAACTATATATCAACATATAATCTCATCTCACAGGGTCAACATATTTTGCAAGTATGCACTAAGGTCTTCACATGGACAACTATAAATTAAACAATTGGGGATTCCTCCTTTTCATGTAGGTTAGTCTACACTGGATGAATGGACAGAACCAACGCACACTAAAGCCACCAATTTTCTTTCCTTCTCATTCATTTTAGTTTTTAGGATTTTGTTTGCCTTAACTTTTGAACGTGTGCACGATAATGAATAGCAAGGCGTGGCCACGTTGAAAGAGTAAAACAAACACGAAAGCGTACCTGACTTCATCATGTAGGCAGGCAAAAAGAAAAAAATGCCGTACGAGGCAGGTTCCACACCCTTTTATGTTCATCTTCCTGTCGCGCCATCTTTCCATGTTGTACCCTCCTCCCTGTGCTGCGTTTGTGCCGCTGCGTCGGGGTTCAGTGAATGTTAATGGATTTTAGGGGAAATTATTGTGCTCTCCACCCGTGTTACAACGGCTCTGACATCAGCCTGCATCATAAGGTGACATGGAAAAACGCTTGAGGGGAAAGGTTTGTTATCCGAACACAAGCGGAGTGGAAATTTGCCAATGTTATATCTCCCGGGAAACAACAAGTTGTCTTACTTTGAAACGCGCGTCAGAGGTCAGGGCCAGGGGCAGGTACGGAACAGCTCCTCCGTGTTCACGGGCTTTCTTGCTCAAGGATACTTTTGCCAGATCCCAACAATATTATGGTTTTCATTACATGATGTTTGCGCTGGCATTTGTCTCTCTGTTGGTTAAAAGACCTTCATTCACACAATTCTTCCAATTAAAGGCTCAATAATACAGTCTAAGTAATTTGTGCTCCATTATCAGATTTAAACGTTTCTCTCCACAGAATACTCCTCTGGCAATTTTTTTTTTCTTTTTTTTTTGTCACCTTGCACCACTGTGACCCGTCTCCACTGTGCACGTACCAAAGCCAGAGGAAGCAGCTGTGTTGTGTGTTTCACAGCAGATAGAGAAGAGAGCCAGCTGACATTTCCTGATGAAGGGACCAGCACATCTCTCCTCTCTCTTTGGCCAACAATAACACCACGTGCACACCCAATACAAAAGGGATAGAGAAGCAGGCCAAATTACTAGGGCGAGTTAAGGCCGTCTATGAATGATGACGGCCTTGAATAAACACCTGAGACTTTTTTCCGTAGCATCAAACCCCGTTCAAAACATAATTAACAGCAGGAATCACAAGATTCCGTAGCCCCCCCCCTGCCGGACTGGCAGCATTGTGTGTGTGTGTGTGTGTGTGTGGTATCACAGGAATGTGGTTTTGGAAGCAGACAATTTCTCTCCGAAGCGGAAGCCCATTTAGCCAACGGGAAGCGTTGCTGCTGGTACGGTCGCTCTAGGGTTTCATCCACTCGGGCGATGCAGGCGAGGCTTCGGCTGTGGCAGTAGGATCGTTAGAATTCGGTTCAAACGCGCTGACGTTAGCTGCCCTGGGAAGTTGCTGTCCCCCCCCTCCTTTTGGGCCAAAAAGATGAAAATAAAATATGGCACAGTAGCAAATCAGCCATGGCATAACTAAACAGGCACACACTTTCATCATCAATCAATGGCGGCTGATAGCATGTCTCGTCATGGAGCTTGACCTCCAGCGAAGCTCTTATCTATTGGTTCAACAGAGCCTACAGTCATTGTTAAATAAAATGAATAAATGATAAAGAAAAGGAAGTAACAAGGCTATTGCTTTAGTATTGGAGCGAGGTGGAGCCTCGTGTGTACTGAAGCAAATGAAAATAATATTCTGAATGCATTGTTGTAACGTGTGTTGGTCTTCAGATCTGGTGACCGATGTTTCTAATGGTACTTTTAGACCTGGCTGGCTCCAGAAATCATTAGCGCATCCTAATGTCAATGATGATGGGCTTTGGAAAGTCTGTGACTCTGGACAATTATACTGCCATCATCTTTAATCTATTTGGCTTGTGCAAGCCTTTTAAAACAGTGCCTGTCCTCCTCTCTCCCGCACACACACACTTGGACTCTCTTTCACACACACACACAAACTGTCCAATTAGCCAAACACCATCTTTACTCTCTGAATGACCACATGCATCTTTCTGTCTATCTCTGCACAGCTAACGATAATGAAGGTTGTGTGCTGTCTCGTGTGTATGTACTTAAGCTTGTGTCTGCCAGCGCAAATGCATTTCTGTGTGCCTGCACGATATGATACGTCGCAACACATAGCTTAAGCAGACACTCATCCATTGCCAGACCTACAGCCAAATGACAGTTAGATCATTAGGCTCTAGCAGCGAGCGTTGCTCTAATTTAGCATGAAGCCGGTAGCTCGTCCCCTCTTGCTGCATGTGACCTTCACACTGCATGATTAAAGGACTGCTATTTGTATCGCTTGTCAGTGACCAGTTCTGCCAAAGCTTTTGGGTATTTAATAGTATTAGTATTTATTTCATTTGACCCCAAAAAACAGAGGTCTAAATCAAATAGCTCCCCCGGTGTCAGTCAAAAAGCTTTCCATTGAGTATGAACTTGAGAAGGAAATAATAACGGTATCTCTTTTTCGTTATCCGAATGCATGTAGAACGAGGGCTTATCGAACGATGCCATTGCTCTGTGGAAAGTATATGTTAAACTTTTATGGCGAGATAAGTGAATGACTATGGCTGGCTGCTGTGGCGTGAGCCTCCTTGCTTTTCCTCCTCATGACAAATACCCAGTTCCTTGTGTAGCCCGCCTGCTATCAGAAACCTACCGCGCATAAGTAGTTGACTTTTGTCCATTGATAATACACGTTTATACATGTTTTTTGTAAAAAAGCATTCTTTAGCAAAATCCTTAACTGATTATCAATAACATAATGTCATATTAAGTGACAAATGCTGCCGATCATCGCTGGCTGTAGCTGAACATGAAAAAGATCTGAACAAGCTCTTGATTGTTTTAATTCTCTGTTCCCAGAGGGAGTCTGTGAGATCTGGTTGACCAGTGAAGACACCGGAGCTTATGGAAGGGACATAGGGACAGACCTGCCCACACTGCTGTGGAGATTGGTGGAGGAGATTCCTGAAGGAGCCATGCTGAGGCTGGGGATGACCAACCCACCGTACATCCTGGAACATCTGGAGGTATGCACAGTGCTGTCTCTCTAGTTACCCGTTTCCCACCAAAGGACCGTGAGCGATACTAATATCTCACAAGAAAACAAGTGTTTCTTTTCATTGTTTATTTTGTATCCCTGTAGTCTCTTGTACTTTAGTACTGTCCCTTTCTCTGAGCAAGTAATTTTGCTTTGCCTAGATGTAATAAACTAAATGTGTTTCGGTTTTGCTTACCAAGCAGTTTAACTGCAGCGCTCATACTCCATTCATTAGTGCATTTCATTCTGTTCTCCCCTTAATGAGTCAATTAAGGACCATTGTGTCCTCTTTAGCAACCTCATTTTATCAGTAATTATTGTCTTCCCTAATGGAACAACGGACATTGTTATTCCTTCTATCTCTCTTATTGTCATTCTCTCTCCTTTCTACCCCCCTGTGTGGGAGAGAGACGAGTATGTCCGCAGGTCTCTTATCGGTCACACATGTATTTTCAATGTCTTAAATTACATTTTTCTTAAATAATTGTTTCTCGACGTATTAGGTCGACACACATGGACATAAATGGACAATAGGCATTCCTTGTCTCTTTGCAGTCTTTCTGCTCTCAATAAGAAATCACCTTCCAGGAGGAGAGGGGCTAAATGAAAGAATGGCCCAAGGGATTCAAAGGAGATATTTATTAAAAAAGCTCTTTTTGTTTGAGTAAACTCTCGAGGTCACACACTGCACTGAAAGTGGGACATTTGTAATGAAACGTATTGTTTGCTGTAACTTAAAATGTTGCTGTGACCGTGTCCAAAGAGCCTAAGGCGTTTAGTGACGAACCATGCTGGAGCCGTGTCTTTCAGCATGTTTAATTAATGCACTAGTGTGTGACACAGTAGAAAGGGAAGTGAGTGCCCACAGCTTAGGGGTGAGTAGTGTACTGATACACCTCAGGGGCTTTTCTCTAAGGGAGAGGCCAGTGAGTTCAGCTGGACCAAACTTAACTCTTAAGTAGCCACAAACCAGCTCATTTCTTACATAAGGATTTTGTTAAAAAAATCTACACAGAAAAAAGGAGCCTAGTTCCCCCCGATATTAACCTCTCACATTAATGAGTCATTCGTGGGTTAAACATTTATCTGTACTGCATCGTGTGTTTATCTGCTTGATGAACAGGAACAAAAGCAGCTCTTAAATCTTTGCTGCGATTGGGTAATAAAGTTGAGCCACTGGAAAGTCTGAAAGCCCGGTTCTTTATTGTGGCCACCAGCCTCAGCAATAGTGCTGATTTGTGCATTAAAAGGGGCAACTTGAGAGGGTAAATGGTTAAAATAAAAATATTTTAGGTATAAGTGAAACTATCATTCTTATCCTTAATCATCATTACATGTTTATCATGTATTTTTCAACCCTCATGTTACACCACTTTGCCTAATAGCAGTACCAGTGTTATCCTCAATTCAAAAAGGTTTAGTAAGAATAGAAAAGGGAGGCTGCGCAGGGCTGAAAAAGGGTGTCTGTAACCTAGAAAACTAAAAACAAAACTTTTTTGTAAAAAAAAAACCTATAAAAGAAACCAGTGAATTCCACAACATATGTACTTTTGGATCAAACAATCAAGGAAGATTGGAGATAATAGATGAATGAAATGAGGGCAGAAATGGGAGGAAAAAAATGGGGAAGAAGGCCTGGGGATAGAGACGAGGGCTGAGAAGGAGTGGAAAGTGCTGTGGGAAGCAGCAATGGAGGTTGTAATTAACCAGGGGTTAATGGAGGTGGCTAATTGTCCCCCACATGTATAGGTAGGCTTTCTGCTTGGCCACATTACAATTAAAAAAACGCCCTCCTAATGATAGGGAATAACAATTAACTGATAATTAGAAATATAGTAGGACGGCACACTACAGTATGACTTGGTCTCTGTGTGTGTGTGTGTGTCTGTGTGTGTGCGTTAAGAATCATTTCATATGCTACCGGCCCTTTTATTGTTAATGTCCATGAATTGAATTGAATTATGTCTCTTTTCTTTAACTCCTCAGTCAATTAACCTACATAAGGAAAGATAAGAGTGCTCTTCTTTAACTTATCATTGTCATTTGTGGCTCCTATTCTGCATTTACCCTTTATGCTCTTCTCTCTTTTCACTCCTCCCCTGCCAGCCCCTCTATACACACACACACACACACACGTTCGCTTTTCTCTCTCCGGTCCTACTTACTGCAACTTTCCATATGTTTCCCATGACTGAACAGAGGAACCTACCAGGAAAAAATATGTTCAAATTCTCAAAGTTCCCTTGTTACTCTGCCTTGACTCTGGATTCTCATTAGTTTTTTCTCTGTCCCTTATCATAGCTTTCGCTCGCCTCTCTCATTCCACTCCTTCCCTTTCTGTAATTTGACGTATTCTTCTTGTCACAGTTTTAATCTTTTGTTCTCTTCCCCCACCTCCAAACTCCTCTCACGGTGGTGGCAATCACAGCAATAACAAGGCTGTGATGATGATTAAGGGCGAATCTTTGAAGTGGATTCATCCTTCATCTTAAGTAAAGGCCATATTACATCCCGCCGTCTATCCTTTCGAATAACACCAGGGCTTATGAAACCGCATCATTCTGAATGGCTGTGATTGAAGCCGAAAAGGCCAAGTAACCTCTCCACTTCCCTCTGGAAGATCACCCTCTCTCACACATATTCACTCGGATCAACACTTTTGTCTCCGTCTGTCACACAAGAACACACGAGTTCTGCCAGTGTGCCGCCTGCTGTTCTTGACAGCCTCATAGCACCCTTTGATGATTGGAGCAGTTAAAGGCCCAATTGCTTCTCATGGGCCACTTGTCTCTGACATTTCAGTTGATTGCATCGTGCCGTGAGTGGACATTTTTATTTGAGTAGCCGCAGGTAAAAATGTCTCCCAACGATGTTACTTTTTTTTGTTTAGCATTTTTCATCTTTAGACTTAAGATTTGTAAACTTTTTTCCCCTATTTGTCTGTCTGTCCACCCATACGCCTGCTTGTCCGTATGTCAATAAATAGGAAATTGCTATCAAAGCTACAATGTGGCCCATCTTACCGCTCAAGGGGTGTGTGTGTGTGTGTGTGTGTGTGTGTGTGTGTGTGTGTGTGTGTGTGTGTGTGTGTGTGTGTGTGTGTGTGTGTGTGTGTGTGTGTGTGTGTGTGTGTGTGTGTGTGTGTGTGTGTGTGTGTGTGCGCGTGGCGTTTGCGTGCTTGAATCTATCATGGCAGCAGACTCGGTAAATGAGGTGTGAAAGTAGCCTCCTCATACGCAGCAATCAGTCAGGCTGCGATGAATGAAATAGCAGTTGTCCATTAACCATCGTCCACACAGCTCATTCCAGTTGGTACTGGACACGCAGCCGCTACGCCGCTAACAGTCCGCGGCCTCCGTTTGATTCTGCAGGCAGAGAGGGATTTCTGCCCTTTACTCGGCTGTGTTCGGAAACACGACTCAACCTGTACAGTTAAGAGAAAAATAAATCCGCGTCCACGCTTGGTTGTCATCAGTTGTTTTTTATCAAGTAATATGAAAGTGGGATCTTTACAGAATAACAAAAAAGTTCATTGTGCCACAGAACCTGTGATGCATCTTTAAATCCTCTCTGGTTATTTTCTCTTCCCATTGAGTCATTAACCTTCCACAGACAGTGAGGAATGTGTCACTGTTCTCAGTCCGATGAAGCTGCATCAGGCCTCGGGAAGGTTGATAAACTACCAAATACCCGTAAGGAAGCAGAAACCCCGTCTTTGCCGTCGGCTGATATTTTTCACAGCCAAGACGTATACACACACACACACACACACACACGTGTAATCTCTCACCTTCACACTGTGGTGTGCACACGAGGACAACTGAATGGGCACGCTCCTAGACACACCCTCTCAGACCATTTTAATGAAGCCTTGGGGAGCCTCTTCACATTAGACGCCTAATGTAGCATTCTGTGAGGGAACGGGCACCAAATGAATGCTCGCCGTAAAGCTATCGGAGTGTCCCTCTAAAATACGGAGTCCTGACTTGATGCAGTAAAGGATATTTTCTGAGTTACTGTGGTGAATGACGACTTGTATATGCTGGCTGACTTTTCCAAAAAGATCTTAGTTGTGGGTTTTGTTGTAGCTTTTATTTTGAGGGACAAAAGAATGACGGCCGCAATAATGGTAATGGATTTAACTGAATTATTTTCCATCTGTTATGTAATACGCAGCTGGCATCTTTAATGTGGTTTTGTGCATATATTGTCTTGAGTGTGGTATTGTATCCTTATTCTTGTATTCAATAGTCAGATGACACAGTGGGACGTTTAAAGCCTACACATGCACTTAATTCCCCCTTTACTGTCCATTGCGTAGATTCCACTTGTGTTTGAAATGTTTAATACCACTGGGAGCTCAGTTTGTCTATCAGCTCCTGAATACACTTCCCACTATGTGCCACACACACACAGGGAACAGATGTATTATCCTGGGAGCGGCTTGTAGAATCATTTTCGCTCCAGACTCCCCTGGGTGAACCCTGCTAATACTCAGTACGTTGGCTTGTGTACATGTCTGAGTGTGTGTGAATGCAGTTAGATGCTACTTATTTTGGGTTAACCTCAAATGTTCACTTGACAGTAATCCTTTTGGTCCCCTGTGCTGCACTTCGGGGATTCCATCTGTGTGTGTGTTGTTGTTGTATTTCACTCACCAATGTGTCCTTAAATAAGGATAGGATGACGTATGTGCCATGTACAAATATTAAGTGTCCTACCTCAGAAGTTATTTATCTTTCAGCTAATTGGAATTAATGCTTTTCAATCTTTAACTTTGCCATTTCAAATGTGAAATTGCTTCCTTTCACCTTTCACACAATGCAAATAGGGGAGCGAACCCGCATAGAACAAAACTGTAGTAGGTGGTAAAAGATGATACGAAGATGAATGACGCAGAGTAGAGTCAAATACACAAAATCATCACTCAAAATATTGCAAAGGAATTGAAAACGTGTGTTATCATTATTGATGCCAGTTGGAGCCGAACCATCTTTATCTGCTCTCGTGCTCTTTCTCTTCCCATACATATCTGTTTTTGAGAGCGAGAAAGAGAAAGAAAAGCCCTTTGGGCGAAGGAGAAAGTGGCAAAGATGGCAAGAAGAAAATATTTTTCCACTTTACATGGTCAAGGATAATAAAACACAATAAAAAATGGACCACTTATACCAACTCTTCATTGATTTGTTTAAGCTTGTCCTGCTTCGAGCCGGATGGTCCAACCAGGGTCCAGGGCACTTAAGAAGCACCAGGTTCTGATGCCGGGCATATCTGAGCAATATCTGCATCATTTTCACACTTAAGACTCACTAAGCTGTCTGTCGGCGGCAGTCAAACATCGAAAAGGCCTCAACTCCACAGGGATCGGTGACGAGAGAGATGGATATCACTTTACTGTATAATCATCGGAGGGTGGGATTCTCTCCGTCAGAGATAAAGACGGATGATTTCTGTCAATGGAAAGTCCTCCCCTTATAGATAAATCCCAAGTTGCTATCAGCAGTGCCCGTCTCCTCCAAGCTAGCATGCCTTGAGACCCCCATTCCCCCTTGCAACACACACACACAATTACACGCTCATGATATGTGTGTTCTGAGGCAGTCTTTGAGGATCATCATTGTTAGTGAACCTACTGTGACTACTACCGAACTGTACAAGTACAACAAAGGCAAGGCTGGGCGAAGTAGCCATATTTATTTCATCACAAGTAAACTCAATGAGCTTTAAATAGTAATGTGCTTTTACATTTACAGATGGGGATATAGATTATATTATTCAACGGTTGTGTCGAGCAGGTCATGCAGATAATGATGGCTCAAAAGCCTTGAGCGTGGATTCATCTTAATGTAGCTATTGTACCCTGCACTTGATTATCATCAATCAGATGATAATCTGATAGCTAATAAGCATGCATTATCAGGATGGAGCACCATGTTACCAAACCAGGTCTGTGCAATGTGCTAGGATAAACTATAATATAATTAAGTGCACACTGAATAGTTGGATCTGCTCACTTTTGGGAATATAGCATAATGTATGTTTTAAAAGCAAATGTTTTGAAAATGTAACCAAAGAAAAAAGTATCCATAGTAGGTACACAATGGCCAGAACCACGCAGACCATTGGTTTTGTGCAGAAACCAGGCTTTGCACAATCATTTTAAGACATTTAATAAATCAGGAGACCCTGAACTACTACTACTACTTTTCTACCAACTGATGTATTTACAGTAGAGACACATCCATTTCTTTCCACGCACACATACAGCGGGCTGATTCCTGTCACCAATCAAGCTCCATTTTCTAACCAAATTAATTCTTTCTAATTTGGATTTTCTAGTGGGCGCCCCCTGCGGTGCCCTGCAACTGAGCTGGTTCCACGTGTGTGTGCGTCTGCGTGCGCACGTGTGTGCATGCGCACGCTCGCGCTCATTCGTATGCTTTTGTGTCTGTGTATAAAGTAGGGACCATTCTACAATAGATCTTAATTGAGAGAACGGACTGCAATCAGCATATTCTTGTAGGAAATCATTAAATCATTTCTTCCTCCCCCCTCCTTTTCTCTATCTATTTCTCGTGGTGATTAGCATGGTAATGATGGCATTCTGATTACGTCCATCGGAAAAACCTGACATCTGTGGTCTCTAGTTTTTTTCACTGAGAAAATGAAAGTAAGAATGAAAAAAAAACCTCCTAATGAATGTGTTTAACCACACAGAATCACTGTTCCAATTGTTCTTGAGGAAAAAAAATCCATTTAAAGTCTCACATTTTCACCCCTTTTCAATTTGGCCGGTGGCACATATTTAAACTACACTGTGTACATTTCTGATAAAATAAAAACTAACTTAAATTATTCCTCTTAATTTTCTCAATACGACTACGTAGATCAAAAAGCATGTCATTTTGTCCCTCAGCGTCAAACACATCCTTTAGTGCAGTGACACTCAACGCGTGGTCCCCGAGCCAGATTTGTCTAGTGTTGCATCCAGCCAAAGCTTAAGCATCTGTGCTGTGGTGTGTTATATTTAAACTCATGGAAATGCAGATTTTCGTAGTTTGTAGTTTGTTTTTCACTTCAAAAATTCGCCAAACAGAAACATCCTGGCATTGAATGGCGCCGCTTTCCTTAAAGTTGATACGTTTTATTACTTCTAACCAGCTCTCTGTATGTTTTTTATTAATTGTGTTAATCACATCCTTCACTTTTTTTCCTCTGAGATGTGGCAAAAAGGCTAGAATATGTTATCTACATAATTTTATCTGCACGTATGGTCTGGGTCTGTAGTAGAAACGTGTATTTTTAGATTTCAAATGAAACGCTCCATGTCTGTGTCAAAAAGTAGTTGAGTTGAGTGATGTAAATGTACCCACAGGAAATTTGCCTTTTCTCTCTCTGTTTTCACTCAGTTTATATTAACAGATGAGCAACACTTATGTGTAACATGTGGACAAACTCACAGTGCAGCGTCTTTCTTCTCCAATATATAAAACATCTAACCCTTTTTAATGTTTTTTTTTTTCTTGTCTTCCAATCTCCCTTTTTTCTGCCCTCTGTTTTTCTCTGTGTCTCATTAGGAGATGGCAAAGATATTGAATCATCCGCGCGTCTATGCCTTCCTTCATGTCCCTGTGCAATCGGCCTCAGACAGCGTCCTGATGGACATGAAGAGAGAGTACTGCATTGACGACTTCAAAAAAGTGGTGGACTTCCTCAAGGAGAGGTAAGATGAGCTGTGCGGTCCTAATGGGCTCGTGATGCTGCGGCGAGTCCCGATGCCACCGCGTTGTTCTTCTCTCACTTCTTCCTTCATTCTCCACTACTCTATGAATGACCTTTTCAAACTAGTCACACTACTGCACCATGAGTGTCTTTACATGTGTCTCTTTGTGTGTGCATGCATGTGTTTGTGTGACTACATTGTTGAACTTTTGAAAAATGAGATGAGTGGGCGCCTGGGTGTCCGAGGTCTCACGACGGCTCAGAGGTGTTTATTTGGAGAATGTCTCTCTCTCTCTCTCTCTCTCTCTCTCTCTCTCTCTCTCTCTCTCTCTCTCGCACTTTTCCCTCTTTTACCCTCCCTTTCATTCTCTCTCTCCGGTACATTTGGAGACCCGTGCAGCACGAATCTTTGTGTCTACGTATTTCTGTAATACAATGTGCTTTAGTTTAGTTGGCAAGGTTACATATTTCAAACATGGAATTAATAGAAACATTGGAAGATAAATTGAAGAAGAAAACTGAAACATGAATAATAATGCATGGATCTGATCTCTGACATGGCGCAAGAAGTGATGCAATCTTAATCTGTTGCTGTATGAAAGATAATCTGACATGGAATTTTAGTATGAATAGTGATCCCAGTGTATTTAAAGATACAAAAATGTGTGTGTGTGTGTTGGCACATTTGTCGTTGCAGATTAGTTTTTTGTTAACATTATTTGCTCCAAGCAGATGAGATACACTGCAGCAATCAATGGATTTCATGCAACTGCTTCATGTAGGTCAGCAGTCCAGCCATAGGCTTACAGATAAAATGTAAATCTGAGTGAGCAGGACTTTCATCCAGGTCACTGTACAACAATCTACATTTAAAAACCAGTGTCTTTAACTATATTAAGTGTGTATTCTTTGTGCATTTGTCACTGTGTGAGTTACTATAAGTTACTGTCTCTTTGATACCCACTAACCCGAGCACAAGCTGTCAGCTTTAACGCCGCATCTGTTTTATTTCTTACTCGCTTTTCTTTTTTCACTTGTAAGTCGACATTTTCGGTTGACCCTTCATTTGGTTGTTGTCATAAAAGTACTTATTTAGTTGTAAAGAGTCAGGATAATTAACCTGCACACTGAGCTGTTATTATCTCCGCTGGTTGTGAACTCACTTGAATTGGATCAGTGGTACGGAAATGATGAATCACATTGAAAATGTAACATACTGTTGGCTTAAGAGCATTATAATCCTATTTCCCTCTCCGGATTTTCTAAGCAAGGATTTGTCTTTATTTTTATTTTTTTCTCCAGTCTGTCTTATTCCCAGGTCTTTGTCTTTTGTGTTTCGTTGTGTGCGTGACAGGCACATGATGATGAAATTGGAATCATACCTGGCCATCTTCCTCTCAGAACCAAAGTATGTCTCTTAGCTCTGAGAGCTCGTGATTGGGCGCAGCGTGCGCTCATTTCTTCCACGAGACCTGTGGGCTTTACCATTCCTTTAAATCCCCCCTTTCTAAGCACCTTCTTAAGGGGTCTGGAGTTGAGGAGTGCCACTGTGTTAGACGGATGCTTGTGTGTGTGTGTGTGTGTGTGTGTGTGTGTGTGTGTGTGTGTGTGTGTGTGTGTGTGTGTGTGTGTGTGTGTGTGTGTGTGTGTGTACACACACCGCGTTCCTTCTTAGTCCTTTTGCCGTTTAGCCTGAAGTCTCTTTCCGTGTCTCCACTTGTTTTGTTTTAAGTGTTCAAACACAGTGACAATCTTCAAAAGTCAAAACAGACTCTGGAGAACTGTCACGGGGGACTCGCACACACACACACACGCACACACAAAATGAGCACACGCAGGGTAGAACGCCATACGATCTTGTTTACATAAACCGTCTGGCTACCCTTTTGTGTGAGTCTTTGTATATGTGCGTTTGTGTGCGTGTGGTTACTCGATTTCTGGCTTCTGTTACTTAAACACACATCCAAACACACACAGGTGATGTCAGTTGTATGAAATCAATACCAGCACTCATTCAGCAGTCTGACCCATTTGGCTGCAGCAGTAATGGCTGTGGCGCAGTCCAGGGTCTGGGAAGGAGGCCAGGGCATCGGACAAGCCAAAAAACACACTCTGTGTGTGTGTGTGTGTGTGTGTGTGTGTGTGTGTGTGTGTGTGTGTGTGTGTGTGTGTGTGTGTGTGTGTGTGTGTGTGTGTGTGTGTGTGTGTGTGTGGGGGGGGGAGAGACCCCTTTTTTAAAGCTCCTCTCGTCCTGAGACATGGGCTATTTCATGAGATTTCGGAAACTCTAAGGAGATGACGAATAAAACAGCCCGCAGGTTTGAAACGCAGCATTTCTTTCAAAAATGCCCAAATCGAACCATTTTCCACAGTCAAGAGCCGACATCATCTTGACTAGTTGTTATACCTTCCGACGGTCTTTGGACACACGCGTGACAAACTGCGGTAAAAAAAAAAGCAGCCAAGTTGAAGCTTAAAGTTTGGATACTAATCCAATCACACAATCAGAACAGTTCATTCTCTGCTTCTCAGTACAAATACGAGGCCACATTTGAATTGTTACTTGACAAAAATGGTGCGACACTTAATTAAATAATTAATTAAAACAGCCGACAGGAGAGGACGACATATTTGTAAATATGTCAGTAGTTTTTTTTGTAGAGCACACAGAGCTTGCTTTTTATTTCAATAACACTTGTGTGCACTTGGATACATTCTGCATATATACTTTCCATTTCTTTCAAAGAAATGGCCTGTTTCCATAGAGGTGCATCACTCTATATTAGAGAGACGTATAACAGTGAGAAACGAAACGAGGCCGCAGTAAGTATAAAAGCCTTTAGTAGGTCAAACATTGTGTGTCTTTGAACTGAAGGCCCAACTTTTCCATGTAGTTGACACGTGGCCCGGGTGAATGTGGGATTAACGTAGTTTGTTAAAAACTTGATTTTTATCACTCGCCAACGTTCCACTGATTAATAGCAATATAAAATAATAAACTGACTTACTGATTATTATTATGTCCAAACAATTTGTCTCCTTTGTTAAATATTTCGATTCGTATTTTCTCCTTCTATTCCTTCCTAAAGCTGCAGGCTACATCGGCCTGTTTCCACTCTTGTTTTCCCTTCAAACCTTTAACCTGGGATGAAAGACCCCACACCACGCTGTGTGTGTGTGTGTGTGTGTGTGTGTGTGTTTTTACTGATTCTACTTGTCACTGGTGCGCTCATGCAAACCAGAACAACTCAACGTGAAGTGCGTGTGTGTGTGTGTGTGTGTGTGTGTGTGAGTCAGACTCACAGGTGGCTCTTAGTGTAGATTCTCACAGTTAGGCCTTTGTTGAGCCGTGTAAAGTTCACTTGTGAGAATGCAACAGGAACCTTGTGCAGGTATGTGTCAGGTCAGAGCTTATCTGACTGACGCGCACACACAGAAGACAAATGTATTTCTCTTCACAAACAGTTTAATGCCACCAACACTGCAGAGGTCATGAAGGTTCAAACGGCCTCTGGCCTTCCTTATCAGAGAAAACCAGTACAGACACACACACAGACACACATCAGACCTCCCTTCTTGAGATCCATGTTCTATAGAATAACATCCCAACTGTCCGGCAGTTTAAAGCAAACCAAATGTCAGTCAGAGTAATTAAGTATATATTATTTGCACTTTCCCTGAGAACACAATCAAATACTGCACAAAGAGAATCAAAAAGTGAAACGTCTCCCTCTGATGACCAGATGACAGCTTTGTTCCAACACTTTGATGTGTTCCACACTCAAACATGCATAGAGTGTAAAGGTCTGTTGAAGGTTGAATGCCCAAATCACCCGTCAGTGGAGGCTCATTCACACTGATCGAAGCAAATGGCGAACCAAAGCTCCTCTGACCCTTTATGTGCGGATGACCTGGTGGAAGAAAATCAATTCCACTTTGCTGAAGCTCGCTGTCATTACGAGAGACCGACTGGTTCGCCCATAGCGTGAGTGTGATGTAGAACAATGGAAACACACAATGCTGTTGGTATCAATTGATTAAGTTCATCTCGGGGCGCGTCCCTGTGTGACTCTCTACGGGATCCGTCCATTCCCTCGTTGCCTTTCTTACATTCTGTCATGCAGGCTTTAATGACATTATTTTGAAATTGTGTTATATTTCGTTGTTCTCTGCTTTGATATATATCTTAATTCACACTGCAAGTTCTTATTCTAAAGCCGTCCATATCCTTGGAGAAAATTGCATTTAATATACCCTTTGAATGACATAACTCATTTTTTCTGGGTGTTATGTCAAAATCCGTTCCTGCCATGCATAATTCGAACAATCAGTATAATAATTATTTCATTAAAATGGTTCATTTGTCCGTCTTCCAACACGGACCATATTTCTTTTACACTCCTTTCTCTCTGCTTCTAACAATTAAAATCACATAATGAACCGTCTTTATGCAGCGATGTATGGAGAGAATCCGGTTACGGTGGAATAAGGCTATTACAAAGTGAGCGAACGTGGCCAGCGGATTTCCCCCCAGCTGGTTCCTAGTTCCCCATAATATCCAGGCTGCTGTTCCCTCAACTACTCTCGAGGATTAAGTGTCAATTGACTGGGGCCAGAGATGAAACGCCTGCAAGAGAAGAGTAATGCATCTGTGGGTTGGGGATTTGTGTTGCATATGTGCAGAGGAGCCGAATCCGGCAGTAATAATGTTGAACTTTAGGGGCAGACGGGAGGTTGTGTGAGCCATTGATAGATGACGAGGGGACGGGCGTCCCTGAGACCTTCTGGGGTGTCCCTCAGGGTGGTAGAGTCGTTCACCTGGAGGTCATTCATGACCTCTGAAGGCCCTTTGTGTCTCACAGGCTATAGAGGGTCTTCTTCAATGAAGACACAGTTGTCCACATGTAAGACGGGGGGGGGGGGGCAACACTATTGCAGTGAAGCCGAACTAGAGAGCACTTCATTTTCCAGGTTGATGACATTTTGAGAGCACTTTCGTCT